GCCACCCAATTATTCTTGTTACAGTCTGAATCAGATGTCCCCAGACATGCTCATGTTTTGAATGTTTGGTTCTCGGCTCTTGGTGCTGCTTGGGGAGGCAGTAGAGTTTTGAGGAGGTGAAACAGCTAGCCACAGTAAGTAAATAGGGGCAAGCCTTGAATGTTCCCTTAGTTTCTAACTCTTTACACTTCCTGTTCTGTGTTGTGAAAGCTTCTGTCACACCTTTCACCTCCTTCCCTGGTGTGGAACCTTCTAGAGACTTTCAGAGACGGAGACCAGAGCCAAAATAAGTCATTCTTTAAGTTGATTCTGTCAGGCTTTGTGGTTGCATGGATGCAAGGTGGCTGACCTAGGAAAACTGGAACGAGAACAGTGTCACTGTGTCTAGACCTGGCCACTTTAGCCTGCAGAACTGTTTCTTGAGAGGAATTTTGAAAAGTTCGGAAATATAAGCTAGAAAAGCTCTAGAATGCTATCAGCAGAGCTTAGTGGGAGATTCTGGCCGGAGTGCAAAAACCAGAGTACTGATGGAGCTGTGTGCAGTGAAGGCCTAGCATGTAGGGATTCTGTTGGGATTGGACTAGCCCTCGCTCTTGCTGCATTCTAGTATATTTTGTTTTGCCCCTCCCCTGAAATTTCGAGTGAGGATGATTTCAGGGATTAATTCTGTTGTGGAACTTTCAGAATAGCATGACATTGTTGTGGTTGTTACTGGCTGCTTTTAGCCAGGTTTACAGTGAGAATTGGAAGAAAATTGATGCAGGAATTTTTCAAAGTGCCTAGTTGGCCAGAAAAGCAGCACCCTTTAAGTTGCTCACAAAAGTAGTTGCTAAAGATATTAGTGGCCTTACAGAGAAGCCACGCACTCCATACTGGGACTACGGAAGGGTGCTTTGAGGACCCGTCAGGAATAGGGTATGGCTTTACTCACCTAGATCTGGAAAATCGCAGATTCATTTGAAACACTTTGCTTTAAAAAGTGAGTGTTCTGGGTGCTCTACTCAAAAGGATAACCTAGGGAAATGGTTTCCCAAGTTCAACTGACTAGGCAATAAGAGGCAATTACAGCCATGGTCCAAAGGGGCTGAACTTTGCTAAAGCTGGTGCCAGGACTTTGTGTTATCTGTGTGGTGGTCAGTTTGTAGGCATGTAGAATGTAAGAGTTCCTGAGTCTTAGAGGCTTGCACCAAGATTGTTAAGGAAAGTCCAGGAGCCCAGACAGTGTGTAGCTGGGTCATATTTCCATGGGGAGTCCCTGACAAGACACGATGTGAAGATGTAGAAGTGAAGCCTGAATTGCAGTGGGGAATCCCAGGGTGTTGGGATGTGCCAGAAATGTGAGACTTCTGCTGAGGGTAATAGAACTGTAGTTAAGTTTATATTGTAAACTGCCTTTTGATTTGAGAGTTTACTAAGAATGTAACTGGTGTTTTCTTTGTGGCTATCTTGACATGAATTCTATTGTTCCTCAGACCATTTGTCCCAGAAGATGGTGTTTTGTGTCAGTCTGAAACCTTGTTGATTGTTATCTAAGTAAGTAATGATTTAGGTGTTGGAAGTCCGTAGTTCTAATAATATTTTCTGTGAATTTAAAATTAGTGACCAATCTATACCAATATGGATGCAAATTAAAGGAGTTCCATGTGATGTAGGGGTGGAGTTAGAGTACAGCTAAAGCAGCACTGTCATCAGAAGTATTGTCATATTGCCTATGGCATCTGCTTTTTAGATTTGGAGAAACAAATGCTTTTATTTTTCAAACTTCTACTGAGCAGGAACTTTCTGTTCTGCTGCTCCTTTATCCTCCTTCCAAAACTGTCTTTCTTTGCTTCTGCTAGAACTGTTTTTGGGGGGTATGTGTTGGGGGAATGTCTCATTGTATAGTTCAGACTGTCCTGGGATCTGTGGCACCCCTTTGCTTTTCCTGAGTTCACAGGCCTGCACCCCCCTGCTTGACTCTGTAAGAGCTTCTCTGGTTGAAGAGATGAGCTGGGATTTAAGATTGAGATTTATTCACTTATTGTGCAAATGGTCTAGTTCACACTTTTGGCTATGGAGCTGGAGAGTTGGCTTAGTGATTAAAAGTACACACTGCTCCTACATCCCGTGTGTCAGAATCTGTAACTCCAGCTCCAGGGGATCCTCTGCAGGCATATGCTCATGTGCATACACCAAAACCAGACACATATACATCCAAATAATTAAAATAAATCTTTTTATTTTTGTTTTGAAGAGTTTTTACCTACTCTTCAAAAGAAAAGTGTTGAAAAATATTTCATGCTTAAAATAAAAGCTTTGCTCTCCTGAAGGTAGATAGTGAAAACACAAAGAGTCATGATTTCAATCCTTGTCTGAGAAGAAATAACCAGCAGTAAAGGCAGTGACAGGGACGTAGTGGGGTGCTTGGGAACTGAACTTGGATCCTCCACAAGAACAGTGAGTACTCTTAGCCTCTCCATCATCTTTCCAGCCCCCAAGGGTGTAGTTTTAAGTTAATGTTGGTGATGATAATATATTCTTCCTGCGAGGGCTGTCAGAGTTTGGAAATGGAAATAGGACTAGTGGTTCCTCACAAGCATCTGTGGCAAGTGTTCCTAATTAGGCACTAATCCAGTAGAAAAGGTAGATTTTTAATCTAAACCTCAGAAGTTTTTCATTCAGTGATATCTTCCCTTTAATCCACTGTGATAAATCCATGTATGATGTTAATGTTCCTATTGTTTACTAAATACATGCAGCAGCAGTGAGAACAGATCTCCTTGCCCTGTTGGTCCTCTTTTAGTCCTACAGATGCAGACAATTCCAGTGTAGAAAGACCCTTTGGAGGCTGTTTCAGACAGAAGATGGTGCCAAAGGGGGAATAAACCAAAAGTATACTGGGGAGGAACCAAAGGGTTCAGGTATTAGGAAAAAAAATTACAGGAAAGGGAAAGAATTGAAAAAGAGTTTTGGGCCAAGTGGCAGTTTGCTGAACACTGCCCTCCAACAGGGGCAGGAGCACAGGCTTGTGCAGAGATGGCCCTTTTGAGATTAGTTTTCAGGACTCGAGGGATGACTTTGTGATACCTGATAGGAACTGGCTGAGGTTAGATTGGGTGCATCTACATAAAGATTAGAAGCATGGCTTGGATTAGTGTACAGTGATAATTGTGTAGAGAAGTTTGGGAGTCTAATAGAAAATTCAGGAGACTTTGTGGTATTGAATGGACTAAACCTTGGACATAGTGACGTTTGAGAGGAGGAGCCTATAAAGAAGCTGATCATGGAAGCCAGTAATCAGAACCGGAAGAAAATCTTCAAGAAGCCAGTGAGAGCCAGACAAAATCCCAGCAAGCAGGGGAAGTGGCAAAGCGCCAATCCTAACCAAGAAGCTGTTTGCAATTGATAGCTGCTAAGAGAGGAAAGGTCAGCCTTCTCTAATGGAGTGACTGGTTATGTCAGCAACGCTTGTGGACCTCATGGCCACAAGAGATCAGCCATTCTCCTCTCCTCCCCTCCTCTCTTCCTCTTCCCTCCTTTCTCTTTCTTCTTTTTTCTTTCTTTTTTTTTTCTTGAGAGAGAGAGAGAAAGAGAGAGAGAGAAAATATGAAGTTGGAGGAGGGCAAAGAATATGATCAAAATATACTGTAATAAAAGCTTTGTAATATTTTTAAAAACTAATTTTTTAATGTACAGAATAGTATAAAATGTTTCCAAAAACCCCATCTTTACCCTAGTTTTTTTTTAAATTATTTATATTTCCCTTTAATGTGATACATTGTTACAAATGATGGATGAACATTCATATAGTAAATCCATAGTTTATAGTGTACACTCTTGGTGTTGGACAGTCTATTAAAAAGAAAAAAGGAAAAGGAACACCACAGTAGGATGAGACTCCTGAGGAGAGCGGCTTCAGGGAAACGTATGGGAAGAAGGAAGACTGGGTGTGGTCGGGTTTGTTAGAGCTGCATCTGTTTGGAGTTGAACTTGTTTCTTTGTTGAACTAAGAGCTATAGAAAGTGGGAAATTAGTGATTTTTTTTTCTTTTAGGGAAAATGAACCTTTCACTCAACAAATGCTCATTGAACATTTTACCAGAAGCCTGTGAAGATTCTAGACTCTAGGAGTATAGCATGAATAAAATGGCTAACTTCCCAGTGTTGCGTACAAAGAAGGGAACTGGAAGTAAATTCATAACCCAAAAGCAAAATGCATGTGTCAAGAAATAGGATTACACTTTGATGAGAAACTGAAGGTGGGGAGGTGCTGTTCCTGTTTAAGAGACCAGAGAAGGCATCTCCGAAGAGGCCATGAGACTCTAGAAGGAAATGAATGTATCTGGGGGGCAGATACTTGGTCCCTGTAGTCATTTCAAAGTAATACATGTAGTAAGCTTGAATTTAACGCTTTATATAACAGAAGTGCCCCTCCCCGGAAGATGAAGTGTTACCATTCCAGTAGTTGTTTACCACCATTATTTATTAAATCTGTATCTAATACATGCCTAAGGGATACAAATGAATCTGTGCTTAAAATACTAGTTTGTTCATGTTAAAATCTTAAAACTCCTCCCAAAATTCAGGTTTTCTTCCCTGTGGCCATTATACTTTGGTCCTTTATCATTCTTTCCAACCAGCTTCAAACCACCTTCCTTCTGGAGACTCTGTTACCTTTGTCAGGCGGGCTCTCAGGGACTAGTCCTCAGGAGTACCTCCACCCTCCCTTACTTTTAGGGTCGGCAGCAGTAATAGCTGTCATATAGTATTTACTCACTGAGTAGCATATACCATAGATTGTCATCCTCTTTAATTCTCCCAAGCCCTCTGAGACAGGCGTCACCATTGATAATCAAGGATTCCATGTCTAATCATTCTCAGGTTGGATTTAAACTCTGCCTTTTGATACTTCAAACTCTTGATATTTAGTAATACCTTTAAATTGCTTCAGGTCTAGTGAAGCAGTAATGACCAGTTTGTGCTGTGGGGGTAAACAGGTGATATTTTGTTACTTTTTATTCTGGCTGACAGTTCAAACTGCATCATGCCAGGGAAATGAAGGCAGCAGGTCACATAACATCCACAAATCAGGAAACAGAAGGATGAGAACAAACTAGTGCGTACTTTCTCCATGTTCTGCAGTCCAGGGTTCCCTGGAATGACGCCACCCACAGTTAAGGTGAGTCTTACCACATCAGTTAATGTAATACAGTCGTGCCCAGAGGCCCGCTTCCCAGGTGATTCTAAATTCTGTCAGCAATTGTCAGTTAACACTAAGGATCATAGCAGGAAAGTAGGAAACTGAGGGAATTTTCACCCACAGGATCCTCTTTGTGATTAAAAACCCAGGTTCTTAAAACTGTGGGGTTGTATAACTGTGTGTTGGGGAGAGTCCCAGAAATATTACAACGGCAGGTTTCTGGGGGCTGGAGAGATGGCCCTTTGGTTAAGAACACATAATTGCTCCTGCGGAGGTTTTGAGTTTAGTTCTAAGCACCTACATCAGGTGACACACAACCTCTTAGAACTCCAGCTCCAGGAGATCCAGCACTTTTGGTCTCCTGGAGCTGGAACCTACGTGAACATACCCACGTAGAATGATGGCAAATTAATTCAGAGTCAAATGTGCAATGAATTCAAGGTGTGTCTGGTAGTACCTGCCTGTATGCATTCCAGCCTCACTGCAGCTGTGGTTCTGAACACAGCACACATGCTAAGCCGTGTTTACACCGTCACTTAACACAATGCCCTCAAATACTGCCCCAACACCAAGGCTGAGATTCAAGACTGTTGTGTTATAATACTGTGCTTGAGAGTGGATTCCTGCTCTTTTAGAAGCATAATGGTCTAATTACATAAAACGAAGACTTACTATTTTCCTGTCATTCCTCAGCATGTAAGTATCAAATTAGTAATCTTTGGATTGTATTATTAGAATGTTTGGTTTAAAAATTGTTGTTTGAGGCTGAGTGTGGTGCTATCTCTTTAATGCCATTGCTTTGGGACGGCAGAAATCTGAGCGTTCCAGACCAACCAAGGTTATTGTAGTGAGGTCCTATTTTTTCTTTAATTTTTCTTCATTTTAAAAAAGATATTTATTTTGTTGATTTTTACATTCCACCCACGGTTTCCCTTCCCTTCTCTCTTCCCAGTCACCCACCCACCCCACCCACTTCTCCTCCATTACTCTTCAGAAAGGGGCAGGCCTCCCTAGATATCAGCCAGCCATGCTTTATCAAGATGCAGTGAGACCAGGCACCTCCTCTCCTATTAAAGCCGAACGAGGCAGCCCAGTTCTGGAAAAGGTCCCAAAAGCAGGCAGCAGAGTCAGAGACAGCTCCTGCACCCTCTATTGGGAATCCCACAAGCCGCACAACTGTCACTGGTATGCAGAGGGCCTAGGTCAGTCCCATGCAGGCTCCCTGGTTGTCTGTTTAGTCTCTGTGAGGCCCTATGAGCCCATCTTAGTTGATTCTGTGGGCTTTCTTGTGGTGTCCTTGACCCTTCTGACTCCTGCAATCCTTCTTCCTCTTCCTCAGGATTTCCCAATCTCCACCACTTGTTTGGCTGTGGATCTCTGCAGCTGTTCCCATCAGTTGCTATGTGAAGTGCCCCTGATGACCATTGGACTAGGCACCATTCTATAAGAATAGCCGAATACCATTAGGCATCATTAGAGTGACTTTTTTTTTTTTTTTTTTTTGCCAGTTCTATTTAATTTTATCCTAGGTCTCTGGGCTATTCTACTTCCGTGTCCTAGCCCACTAGGCAGTGTCAGGGGTTACAACACCCTATCTTTAAAAACAAAATAAATTTATTTTTAAAATTATCTTTAAAAATAGAATAAAATTAATTATTTTTAAATTGAAAAATTTAAATGATACCTATGGATTAATTGTTGAATAGTGTATATGTGTTCAGACACTTGCATGCTATGGCATGTGTCAAGGTCAGAGAACAAATTTGGATGTCAGTCCTTGCCTTTCTTCTTGTTTGAGGTAATGTTTCTTTTTGCCTGTTCTGCATGTCTGTGTCTATGCAGGGTCTCTCTTTGTTGTTAGCTGCTGTGCTGTAGTCTTCTGAGGATTCCCCTCTACTTCAGGTCTTGTCATAGGAGTGCTGGAATTAAGCAGCTCATGCTACTGCACTCAGCTTTCACAGGTTCTGGGTTCAGACTCAGATCCTCATGTGTGCACACGAGCATTTCATTCACTAAACTATCACCCTAACTCCTGAGCAATAGTTTGATTTTATAATGCTCATTGTGGAGAATGCTGCTTCACATAAATGCATAGTACATGACAGAAATGTTTAGGGCCTTTGCAGAAATAATTGGAAATTTCGCCCTAATCACAACCCAAAATTTGCTAAATTGCTTTTGTATGAAATTCAAGTCAGCAGCTCAAGCAGCACTTAAAAATAAATTAAATTCTAATATAATACAATCCAAAGATATACTAATTTGATGTTTATATGCTGAGAAATGATAATAGGAAATAATAAAGTTTTAGTTTTCTGTAATAAAGCCATTGTGTTTTGATCTAAGGAGAAAACTGTGCAGGTGTGAAAGCACTGTACTGCACCACAGTTGTGCTCCTCGGTGCCCTGTAATGTGATGTGTGTGCAGTGCAAAGAGCGAACATTCCAAGTCAAGGCTGCAGCAACGTAGGCAAATACTGCTAGGAAATCTACCTTCATTATACATTGATTCTGACTAATTTTTGGTAGTTGCAATTCAGAAACCTTTTAAGCTGTTGCCAGTTTTTTTTTTTTTTGTGACCACCACCTTTAGTTATGTAACTATATGTCATCATAGCTTATAGCTTAAGAAGTTGAACTTCAAAGAAAACTTTTAATTTTAAAAGATAATTACTGTGGTAAATTGACCAACTGTGATCATATATTTTATGAACTATGAAGTGATGTTAGGATTTATGAATATAATATGAAATAATTAAATTGAGCTAAGGAACATATAGCCACCACTTCAGATACTTACTTCATTAATTTATAATGGTCTACTAATGCCTACATATCACATTCATATAGATGGGATTAATTTTGATGTGATTGTATGCCTCTTGTAAAATGTTAGGCAACATTTAAATCTAGTCTAGAGCCAGAAACCAATATTCTATGATCCCTCTACTGTTTGTGTGTAAGGATGGGAGACACATAGGTAGTACTTGTGGTTAATGAGGCAGGCAAGACCAGGGTTCCTTCCTGTTCTGGAAAACCAGCTGCTGGACTCTTGAGGTGCTCAAAACTCATATTGAGGAGAACTGTAACAGAAAGGCCATCGTGCTTGGAGTGAGGATGATGGCTTAAGACCTGAGTAAATGAAAGCGGTCCTTTAAACAATGAATTAGTGTAGTACAGCTTACAAAGTAGTATGTCTTCATGGTTTTAAAACATCTGGTAACATTGGAAAACTTACATGAAAGAGTACCATCCCCTATCCAACGTCAATCCCTGTCCCACTCTTAGACAAAGTTACTTGAAACCATTGAGGTCTCTCTTTTATTGTCTGTATTTCTGTTATTAGAATGATTTGTCTGTGGTAAACTTTATGTATTGAACTTTTATTTCCCCAAAGGGTGAAGCTTACCCATTTGTACGCTTTCCTCCTCATCCCTATCAGTAAAGTTATACCATTTATTTTTGTTTCTCCTTTTTGTTACCTGGTAGCTTTGGTAAGCCAGCACCTTTTATAAATTACCTGATTTACAAAAACAGTATCTCTTACTTCATCCCATCTAGAACAGTAAACTGGGTTTGGTGAGAGTTAGGTGTAAACTTAGAGGTCTAGGTATTGTTGGGCAATTATCTGGAGTCAATCTTTAGTATTTTTTTGTGAGATTTATCATAATCTTTGCCTTTTATGTTTTATAGAAATAAATACCTTCCCTTAAATTGATGAAAATGAAAATACAGAAGAAAGAGAAGCAGGTAAGTGGTCCCGTTTCTCTTAGGTGTTTTATGTGTTTGTTGTACCTTATGCCTACTAAAGAGGATAGACTAGCAGTGTGGGCTCACACTTTAACCTCTGGTAGTTCCGTGTTGTCTCTGCTTTTCATTATACAGAGTAGCGGAGCTCTGGGTGACTACCACATGAATTTCCCCCTTTGCTTCAGTCATGTCCATAGTGGAGCAGTGTAATGGAGCTGTGACTGAGAATGCTGCAAGCTAGCCCTGTAGAAATGCTTCCTCTTTTGGAACAACTTTTTAGATTTTTTTTTTCTGAGTGATGTGACCAATTCTCTATAGTTTTTAATGTATTAATAATTATTGGAGGTTTAGTTTGCTAAAACATTTCCCCCACATTTTGTGTGTGTGTGTGTGTGTGTGTGTGTGTGTGTGTGTGTGTGTGTGTGTGTATGCACATGAAGTAGGTACACATGTAATAGCTTATGTGTGGTGGTAGGGGGAAGTTTGTGGAGTCACTTCTCTCCTTCCTCCTCTTTGGGGAGTTCTGGGGCTTTAGACTTGAGCTCAGGCTGCCAGGCTTACTCCACTGGTGCTTTTGCCTGCGGAGACACCTCATTGTCCTAGAAGCATTCTTTTTGTTGTTGTCATTTTGGTTTTGTTTTTTTTGAGACAGGGTTTCTCTGTCTTTGGCCCTAGTTAGAGACAAGGGGATGTGGGCTATCACAGACTACCCTTTGGATGACCCTTGTAGGGGAGCATGATTTGGAGAAATTATTCTCATCAGTGTCAGTTATTCACAAGAAAAGCACTACTTCTAGCTAAATACTGGATTTCTCTTTCCTGGTGCCACAGTGAAGTGGAAGTTGTAGGTAAGCACCACAGAAAAGGTTCACCTGCTGGGACTTGATCCTGGGTTCACTCTGACAGGCACCTGGAGCTGTGTACAAGTTCTTCTATTACTGCTACATTTATGATGAGGAAGATGGGAACAACCACGCATCCATCCAAAACCACCATTTAAATGCATTGTAGGATATATCCCAGACCCTCAAAAAATTGTTATATATGATAGGCAGGCAGGCTTACAGTTCTTAAGGCAATTTTCATGTTTAGTTTTTAAAAATTCTTTAAGGCGAACTATTATGTATCCTTAGAGAGATTTTTATTTTAAACTTAGAGTAATGGTTAGTGAAGAGAATGGAATTTCTGTTGTTTGGGATGTGTTTTCTGTTTGGGGTAGGTTTGTTGGCTTCTGATTTGTATTTGAGATAGTCTTGATATAGAAGTATAGGTTTATGTGTAGTCCAGACTGATGTTGAACTTGAGATCAATTTGCATCAGCCTTGTGAGTGCAGGACTATAAGGTGACCCTGCTGTGCCCTGCTGCAGAGTGTGAATTCTGCTTGAAAATTACTGTGAGCTGTGTTGGGGTCAGGTTGAATAAATAGGAAGAACTGATCTTGTTCTTTTTGTCAGTATTTGACACTGGGTCATACGGACTATTGAACTGCAAGAAATATAGCACATAAAAATGGAATACTGGAGCCAAAACAATCTGTGGGCTCTAGGACTGAGTATGTATCACACAATTTAGGGATGGATCGAAAGGGCTTCGGTTTTCATAGAATGAGATTGAAATTCCCACTGTATCACTTAGGCTCTTGGAAAAAGTTCAGTCTCATTTTTCACAGTGTGAAAAGTAATTAAATGATAGTCAAATACTTAGAATTTGATATATCAAAAGCAAGCAAATCTTTAGTGTATAACAGTGTGAAGAGCCGTCAATCTTGCTTTAACCATGATACTAAAATGTTAGAAGCAACACAAAAAAGGCTTAGGCTGTAGCTTGGTGCTAGAGCACTTGCCCAGCATGTGCTAGGGGAGTGGGAAAGTCTGTTTTAAAAACATCCATTCTTTAAAAAAAAAAAAACCTCATTTCTTTTAGTTTGTTTTTCCACTTCTTTGAAGAAAAATGGCATGTAAATGCTTTCTGATCTTTGAAATTTCTCTGCTCAAAATTTTATTGGGGAAAATTAAAATGAGATGACAGATTTTTACAAGTTAATCAAAATTCAGCAATAAATAATCATGCTTCTTATTAACTAGAAGGGGCATAACAGGTGGCATGCCAAGAACAAAGGCTTTAGAAATTGACTTTGTATTGCCAAAGGAAATGCCCCCGCCCCCCCCCCAAAAATAGGACTGGGAAAAATGAATCTCTTGCAGTCTTTTTATCTGTGTTGATGAAAATAACTAAACTGCCTCTAAGAAGTGTATGGAGTTTAATTACTGAGATTTCCAAACAATACTAGGCAGGCAAAAATTAGCTAGGGAGATAGGTGTGAATTATAATGATTAAAGCCCAGCTTTTACAGCTGAATATCCTTCTTAAGGGGAACACAACCTCACCTTAGTGAAAACAAACTGTGCTGGTTCTTTCTTATTTTGTTTGTTTTTTTTTTTTTTTTTAAAAAACCTCTCAGCTCCTTGTTTGCTACTAAGAAGTATAAAATATGGCAAATGAGATGTGATATACAAGTAGTAAGGGTAAAAGGTTTGCTTTAGTAGTCTAGATCAATTAGTCCAGTTTTTAAAAATGTTTTATTAAAACTTGGAGCTATAGCCAGGGAATAAAGTAGACCTGGTGACTTTCAGAGACCCTTGCTTCTATGGACAAGAGCAGAGCAGGCATAGCCTTCATTTTTAGGTCCTCGAGAAAACACAAAGTTGGTGGATTGGGAAGAGTAATTCAGATGAGCAGCGGAACTCTCAGACCTTGAGACAGCTAGAGCATACTTTCTTCCCTGGAGTGAATATGAACATGAATTATTCACTAAACAAATATTGCTGAGTTTTTCACATTTATTTTTGCAAGAAATATATAAGTTCTACCTCAGGCCAGGTTCAGCAGTGACTTAAATGTTTCCTAAAGAACTGTATATAGTCTGATTATAGGAAGACAGTTGAAGTAGGGCATGGTACATGCCCCAGAGGAACCAGGATTTTACACTGTGGATGGAAGGCTGGTAGTCTGGTATTGAAATATAGGGACACAGGTAGCCCCACCAAAGAATTTGAGTAATTTAGAAAGAGTAAGGTCTCTGGGGTCAGCCAATTCACTTCAAAGAAGTGAACAGGGAAAGAAGAGAGTGATTGTAGATGGATTCAGGAAGTGCATGGTAGTAAGGGAGAAAGGGAAAGCCTAGGGTGGAGTGCTCCATTTTGGTGGTAGCAAAAGGTGAACTAGAATAAGCATGGTGGATTTAGCCAGCTGCCATGTTCCTAGCACAGTCTTTGTCTTCTACAGCTAGGGGCGGGGCAGGGTGGTGGTGGTGGTAGTGAGCTCAAATCTCTAGGAAGGTGTTTGCTGCCTGAACTATTGCCCAGTCACAAGCCTTGGTTGAAAATAGTGAGTGAGGAAGAATAAGAACATTGGTAATAATGTGGATGAATAAACAGTTGATTTTGAGACTTCTCAGCATCCCTCAACAGAGCAGGACTAGCGTTATTCAGACCTTCAGTTTGTTTGCCATTGGAAGCCCCTTTCAGCATATTTAAGAGTGATAGTAAAACCAATTTAAAACATTGTCTTCGTGAGTCAAAGGGATTTAAAATAGACTTTCTCCAACTCTTCCAGAGAGCATTGAATTCTTCCTCTGTCTCTTCATATACCTTCACAGAACTCCTGTCCCACTCCCAACAATTCTAATTGGTTTTTTATTCTGAAACATACACTTGAGGCCAGAGTGAGGCCTGGCCTAGAAGGCTGACTTCTTGCCTATGTCGTACATGAATGAAGCAGGACACTCTAACTCTAAGGTGAAGACTTATGGTCCTCTCAGGAGAGGAAAGTGAAGTGTATCTGTTGATGAACCCACAGACAAGAATGGGACCAAGGTGGCCTTCTGCTCCTTGGCCTCCTAGGCTGTTTGGCTTGGCTACTGTCTTTGCTTTTCTTTGTTCTCTCTTACTCCCCTGGCCTTTCTTTCTGCTTCTTTCTCCCAGCATCCTATTCTGTCTACTCCACCTACCTATGTTCTGACCTATCAGACCAAGCAGTTTCTTTATTAATTAACCAATGAAAGCAACACATAGAAAGAAGACCCACCTACATCACTTAAGGAAAGCCACATCACTTGGGCAAGTGTTTGTGGTATATAGCATGCTGAACCTCTTATAGGAGAGCAGGCACTCACAAATGGTGCTCTTTCTAAATTATCACCAGAATGCAATTTTTCCATCTTCCTGGAAAGCTGATCCTTTTTGGGCTCTCCCAAGGTAATTTCTTTGTTCTAGATCAAGAAAAGAATGCTATCCTTGGAACTGACACTCACATTATTACTGGACTATTGGCAATCTTACTTTGGTTATGAAATGACAAGTACTTTTTAGAATTCTAGACCTGAAAGTATGAGATGAAACATCCACCTCCAAAGTATTGTTTCCTTAAAACTGTTCATGGTGTGAGACTATACTTTTACTTGGAATGATTCCACTTTCCTTGTTCAGAATCAGCACAATTCAGTGTTGGTACTTCTTGGTCTCTATTGAGTTTTGAGAGGTATAGGAGTGCATGAATCTTTCCTTCTCACCCCAGAAACTTGCCTTAGTTCATGACCAGGAAGTTTCAACATACTTGAATAGTAGTATTGTGTGTGAGTATCATAAATCCCATTGCAGGTCTCTGTAGTATGCCTAGGATTTGGTGGCATCTGAAGGCTTTTTTTTTTTTTTGTAGAAAACTATTATATACATGCCTGTTTTAGATAAAATAATAAAAATAATCTCAGATTTCCTCATAGAAAAAGTCCTTCAAATTTTTATATGTTAATTATATATTAAATTAAGAATTGTTTGATATGTTTGTATGAGTGTGCATGCCATGGTGCATGGTAGAAGTAAAAGGCAATTGGTTCTCTCTTCTCACCTTTACAAGGGTTCTAGGAATTAAACAGGTCCCAAGTTAAACACAAGCACCTTTACCTATTGAGCCATCTCAGTGGCTCATATTCAAACTAGTAACATATTAACATCATGCCACTGCTGCATAAGGCCACGGGTGGCTGTGTGTAGTGATGAGGCAAGCAGGCCTGCTTTTGTCCCTCATGGCTCCCGCATGGCTAGCCTTTTACCCGAAATAACAACACACAAATTGTATTCATTTAAACACTGTCTGGTCCATTGTCTCTAGCCCCTTATTGGCTAACTCTCGCATATTAATTAACCCATTCTAATAATCTGTATATCACCACGAGGTCATTTCTTACCGGGAAGATTCTAACCCACGTCCGTCTCTGAGAGGAGAGCCATGGCATCTGCCTGCCTCTGCTTTCTTTCTCCCACAATTCTATTCTGTCTTTCCCGCCTACCTATGTTCTGACCTATCAGGTCAAGCAGTTTTCTTTATTAATTAACCAATGAAAGCAAAAGATAGATAGAAGACCCTTCTACATCAGCTGTGTTCTGCTTGTACTGTATCCCAAGGTCTAGCCTACTGAAACTAACACATGGTAGGAACTCAGGTGCTCACTATATATTGACTGAATTATTCAAACCTAGTAACAGTCTTTGTATGGAGCAGCGAAGGAGTAATGTGTTTTTTTCTCTTTCACAGTTGTCCAAGTTAAAATCTTTGAGTCACTCCCCAATGTCAGATGCCTCTGTTAATTTTGATTACAAATCACCATCACCATTTGACTGCAGCACTGATCAGGAAGAGAAAATCGAAGATGTTGCCAATCACTGTCTGTCCCAGAAGGACCTTTATGCTACTGAAGAAGAAGCTGATACCCTTTTCTCTAGGAAGTTGATATCCCATAATGGGATAGAGGATAGTGGAGGCAGAGGTACTGGAGTGAAGAAGAAACGGAAGAAAAAGGATCCAGGAGAGCAAGAGGGAACAAAGGGAAGCAAGGACAGGGAGCCCAAGCCAAAGAGGAAACGAGAACCTAAAGAGCCAAAAGAACCCAGGAGGGCCAAGGAGCCGAAGAGGGCCAAGGAGCCCAAGGAGGCAAAGCAGAAGGATGGTGTGAAAAAGCCTCGGAAGCCCCGGGAGGCCTCGGGTACCAAGGAGGCTAAAGAGAAGAGGAGCTGCACTGACTATGTATCCAGGACTAAGTCCAAGAAGGCCAGGTGTGTACTTTCCTCTTTGTCCTTGACTTCATGGGGCTGTTTCTCTTTGCCAGTAGCCTAAGCTCCTGGGCTTGACTTGACTACACCTCTGCTGGTCCAAACTTTGTACCTCACTTCCATGAGACAGTGAGGGGGATAACTCTTGGCATTAATGGAAGGTGTTGTTTTCTAATTTAATATCTGAAATTATACTTAAAACATTGTACTTTTTGGAAACTCCAGGAATTGCTAACTTTCTTCAGAGTCCAACCATCTTTTTAGTCTGTATACTTAGTGTTTAGCATTCTTTATGTGGTGGCTAGTATCCTACTTCAGCTGTGTATGTACTCTTTACATGCCTTGTGGATATGTTCTTTATGTCCTGTTAGCTTTCAATCAAAAATGAACCTTCTCTCACCTCCTGGTCATGTAATTTCTTGGTATTCAGTTTGTATTAAAAAAGAATTTAAGTTGGGTCATGGTGGTGGTGCATACCATTAGTCCCAGCATTTAGGAGGCAGAGACAGGCAGATCTCTGAGTTTGAGGCCAGTCTGGCCTACAAAGCAAATTCCAGGATAACCAGGGCTACACCGAAAAACCCTGTCTCAAGAAAACAAAAAAATAAACAAACAAAAAATAATTTAAATGCCAACTTGTCTAAAGTATACTTCATAGGACATCCTGGGTCTGATAGTGGGAATATTTAGACAGCAGTGGTATAGAGGCAAAGGTACACAGCTGTAGGAGTCAATGGTATAGTATTCTGGCAGAACCTTGAGCAGACAGACTGTGTACAAGAGAAGTGACTTTCCTCCCCAGCTCCATGCTCTATTGCAGGATTATTTCTGATCTAGTTCCTTAGTGCAGTGTCTAGCACAATCCCTGACCCTTCCATAGCTGTTCAGACAGTGCTGGATAAATGAAGCTAGACAAGAACAAACTGACCTATGTAGGTCAGAGGCCTAGGTGCAGATTCACCACACAGTGTGTAATGGGAGAGAGCATGCAGCTATGGTGCTTCTCACACAAATCAGTATTTGCTGTTTGCATATAATGGGATGTCTTTTTAAAATCATTTCTACATGACATTGTATTTAGACTTTTTGAGAAAATATAAAACAAAAAATTATAATCCCGAACTCAAAGAACTTAAGTTTTGGAAGTCTAAATACAGGGGCGAGGTGTTTGTCTGTCTTTCTGTCCTATCAGACCATGAAATCGTAGGGGTTTGGTATGAATGTTAAGAACATAGCATAATGAGGCTGCCAAACACCTGGGTTGGGTCAGAGCACGGGGAGAAGTGTGTTTAGAAAGTGTTTTAGTGCTGAGTACTGCAGCTTCAAGTCTGCCTTGTGGCTGGTTTATTTTTCAGAAGGATGGTTTGTCAGGACCAGATAGATAATTCCTAATCCAAGTTTAAATGTTACTTCATATACTCACTCCCACGGGAATTTCATTTTTACCTATCAAAGAAGCTTGAAGGTCAATGGATCCTAGGGTTGTAGCTGGCGAGAATAGTCATAAAATCCTGTCTACCTTGAAAGACCAAGAGGGGCAGGTAAAGTTGGTATTCAGACTAATGGAAACCATAGAAGCTTTATTGCTCATTTAACATTGGAAGGATACTCTGATCTCCAGTATGTGGGTGGGGTGGCATAGTAATTTTGGCTTCTGTCAATCATACACTTGTACATTGGGAAGTTGTTTTTGTTTTTGTTTTTGTTTTTTGGTAAAGGAATTTTTAGGGTAAAGGTTTAAAGAAGGAAGTTCAGACTAGTGGAGTTACCAAATGTAATGAATCCTAAGTATTTGAGAATTAGGGTAACTAGAGGAGCGGTCCTCTGTGCTTTGGAGGACAGTGGAAGATTACGTATCTGGACTCACCAATGTTCTAAACTCTTATGTTTATAGTTTTATTGACTTCTTCTTAAAGAAATTAATACTGACATTATATAAGATTTAAAACAAGTTGATTACATATAGACATTGTTAGAAATTCCATTTCAGGAAAATAGGGAATTATTTCATGAAATAAAGTTGAATATCACATGTAGAGGCAAAATCAAGATTCTGACTGATGAAGATCTTACGTAACAGCATTAAATGAAAAGAGTGTAATTCTGACCTAGCTAAACCAAATGAATGAGTTGGGGCAGTACTTGTCCTTTTACGGGCTATTAAAGGACAGTGAACTCTCTAACTTTAGAAATCCAGGGCACATCTTTTGAGTGGAGATTGACAGGTAGATAAAGATGGCTATCTCTTTAGAAACGTGGGCAAGGTACACAGGCTTTGTCTATGTGTTAGGGCTGTGTACACTTATAATAATACTCTTCTGTGTAGCCCAGATAGGGTTTTGAACTGTTTAGCCTTTGATTTCTTTTCCTCTGTATCTTTGTAAAAATATTTTGTTTCCTTTAATTAATGATTGCACCAGTAAGCATAACCAGTTTTTAGTTATGAAAGGATATTAATTGATTTTTAAAAATGTTAGTAATTAAGTCTCAATTGCGTACGTGCATGTGTGTGTAATTTATTCTTGTAAATTGGCTCAGTACTTGTTTTTATTTGAACAGTTATTGATTTCAAACCCTGGGTAATACTTGATGATTCACTGGTTGCCTGGGTTACTACAGGAGCATGGCCCCCAACTTATAGACTTTTGGTCTTTCTTCCTCTTTACTACAACCCAACCAGTCTTTCTGAAACATTAGCATTGCCACGTCAGTGTTAAACCCTTTTTCTCTGTCTTGATTTTAAATCAGCTGAGAAGTGGCCAGCAAAAGAGATCCAGTGGTCGGTTTTATTATTGATAACTGGGCCAAATAACTTACATTGCCTTGTGGCTAAAATCAGACTGCTTGTTGGTTACTTCAGTTAAATGCATTCCTATAACTATAGGCAGAGAAGAGATGGCAACACTGAACCAGGAATCCTCCCCATTTCTGAGTCTTGCCTCAGGTGGGTCCCCAGTTAGAGAACCGTCTCCAGCATTGCACTCTTTTGAAGAGTAAAGCATGTTTTCCCTGTGAAAATATAGGCACAAGAAAAGGGAATTTCTTCTTTAGTTTATATTTGCATGGGAACTTCTGGTTGTTACAGTTTTCTCCAGAGCAAACCTTTTCCCTTTACTCAAGATTTTGAAGGTCTGGCTTCTTCTTCCTTTAATTCTAGCAGCAAACTCCCCAGCTAGATTGCTTTCATAAACCCTTGAGGTACTTGTTTTTCTTATAGATTGCTTTTGCTGTTTCTCCCAACCATAATGTCTTTTTTCCTGCAAGTATCCCTAGTCCTTTTCGTTCTCTAGGTCTGAATGCAAAATATGCTTATATGTCCCTCTGACTGGATCCTTCATTGTCATTATAAATTATGGGCTTTAGATCTCAGCAGACTGAAAAGGATCTAGTTCAGCCCTATCATACTGTATTCTGGGAAGTAAAGAACGACAAAGAAATGATTTTTCTGAACTCATTCCCAATATATTTTGTAAACTCAGGCCTTCCAATTTTTTGTCTTACATACTTTTCTCTGCAATGGCCCTCTTAATGGTTAACTTTTGTTTTGGTATATGTATGGTTTGCGTCTCAAGATTACCATACCTTTCTCTCTCTTGTTTCCCCAGGGGCAAAGAAATTTGTCAGACATAAGCACAATATTCTACATATTTAATTTGATTGCATTCAAGAACCCTTCCCCCTGAAAATAAGATTTTTTTTAGATACCTTATGAACTTGTCAATATTTGATGGTGTTTCTGCTTTCTAATTAAAAATAGGTGGTGTTCTAAAATAAAGAGATGGCTCAGAGGTTAAAAACCCACACTCCTCTTGCAGAGGGCTTCACTTCCTAGCAGTCATGTCAGGCAGCTCCTGTTTGTAACTCCAGCCCCAGCGAAGCTGATTTCCCTATTCTTTCATCTTTGGGTGCTTCTGCTCAGGTGCACAGACACACATACACATAATTTAAAAAAATATTTATTTAAAATAAAAATATTTTAAGTAATAATAATAAAAGATAAGTGACTTGTCCAGGACAGACTGATGAGCTTCAGTGTCAGCTCTTCAGGTTCCCGTGACTAAGGTCAAGAATGAAAGTGGAAGATCCCTTGTCAGAAAAATTTGTAGGGATTGGCTCCTTTTCTGCAGAATCTCATTGGTATTCTTTCAAGGACTAAAACGGTTCCAACTATTTTTTTTTATGATTCCATTTCCTTTGAGAGGCAGCAAGCAGCAGACAGTTGAACACTGTAGTGATATTTTGTTTGTGTTTTAACAAGTAAAGCTTCCCTGAAGATCAGAGTGCCATGCTAAGCCGCTAGAGATCAGGGAGTGGTGGCACACACCTTTAATCCCAGAAATCAGGAGACAGAGGCAGACTCAGGACCTCTTTTAGTTCAAGGCCACCCTGGGCTACACAAAATTGGTCCAGTTTAAAGGAGAAACAGAGCTCACACAGAGGTGATTCTAGCACTTGGGATCATATGCCTTTAATCCCAGCACTAGGGAGGTGGAGAGAGAAATGATATGGCTACACGGAGAAAGGAGTATAAGGCAGGAGGAGACAGAAACTCAGATGCAGTCTATTTGGTGGAGGCAGTAGCAGTTTGAGGAGATAATCTGAGGACAGGATTTCCCCTTCAATCTGAGCATTGGTAGAAGTAAAAAGTCTCTCTAATGACTATCTGTACTGCTTCTCTTATTTCTCAAATTTCATCCCCTAATATCTGACTCCAGGTTTTTTATTTTTATTATTAAGAACAATTAGAATTTGTGCTATAAAACATGTCCTGGACCTAAACAGTGTGTAGTCAGAAGTTTTCCTGTCCTGACAGCCCACTCCTCATCCCAGAAGCTGCTTCCAAATTGTCATACAGAGACTTAATATTATTTATAAATGCTCAGCCAATGGCTCAGACTTATTACTAGCTAGCACTTATATTTTAAGGTAACCCATTTTCCTTATTTATTTATGCTCTGCCATGTGACAGTACCTTTATTAGCATGGCACATTCATTTCCTGCT